TCATCCATAATGGCTTTTCAGTGCTGGGGCGTGACAAGCCTGGTGCCTCATCTAGCCCGTGCAGATGAGGCCAGAGTACTGAACCCTTGAGCCATTTTAAGTCTCTTCTATTCTCCTCGTAACGTGTGGGTTTCCTCTCACATTCCAGATGCATGCAGATAGGCCATTGTGTCCCAATCCGGTCCTCGGTGGCCCACAGACAGTCCAAGGGAGGGATCAAAACTGTAGACTGTCTGGCAGGGACCTCGGAGGGGGCAAAAATGTAGACTGTCTGGCAGGGACCTCGGAGGGAGCAAAAATGTAGACTGTCTGGCAGGGACCTCGGAGGGGGCGAAAATGTAGACTGTCTGGCAGGGACCTCGGAGGGGGGGGAAATGTAGACTGTCTGGCAGGGACCTCGGAGGGGGCGAAAATGTAGACTGTCTGGCAGGGACCTCGGAGGGGGGGAAAATGTAGACTGTCTGGCAGGGACCTCGGAGGGGGCAAAAANAAAATGTAGACTGTCTGGCAGGGACCTCGGAGGGGGCAAAAACATGGACTGGCTGTGGGTCCCTGAGGACCAGGTTGGGAAAGGCTAAGTGGTGAATGTAAATGTGCCAAAGCCTAAGACTGTGAGCTTGTGCATGTACAGTATGTGTCCTGTGATGGACTCAGAGGTGGAAAGTTCAGGTTCAGAAAGAAAAAAAAAATCCAGACCAAGATTTTGCGTCAACCAACCAGTTCAGTACAAAGAGTCACATTCACAGAGTCCGCAACTTGTTGGATGGAATAAAATCTTGGTTTTGGACATGAACACGGACTGGCATCCCCTCCAGGGTGTATGCCAGCTTCGCTGGCTGGCATAGACTGCTGGGCCTCCCTGTGACTCTGAGCTGGTTAGAAGATGCATGAACTTGTCTTCCTGTTTGTGTATGGCGGTCATTAAATAGATGAATGATTGAATGAGTACTTAAGTATATTTTGGGATCCAACACTTTACCGCTAGTACCGTTCCAAGCTCAAGCTGCAGATACAGGTCACAGGTAATTCCCCACAAAACAACATGTCGCTGTCGCTGCTGGGCTGACGCAGGGCATTGCCGGCACCCGAAGCAGGCCTCCTGTTGTCGTGCGACTCCGCGGTGGCACGCTAATCTCTTTAAACAGTGCCGTGGGAGAATGCAAAGCAGATTACAGCGGCAAAGTCACTCCGGCTTATTTACAGAGAGAAGTTCGGTTCGAACTTTGGCGCGGCGATCACACATATGCACGTGGGCCTCAGGGACTGACTCTCCTGGGAAGCACCCCGTCTTCCCAAACGACGGTACCGCCCCCTCCCCACGTCAGGACGCGTATTTTTGTCCTGATGCAGGAAAAACAACACCAGTATCAATTTTTAACTTTCGCCGGCGTTTTTGCATCTACCGCCCCACTGCGGCCGATGGCGAACACCGCCTTCCCCCTCCATGCCGATGCGCTCCGCCGAGCACACCCCCACGCCCAGGATGCAGGTGAAAGCGGGGGCTTCAGGTGGAAGATGAGCCTGACACATGATTCAGACGAAATACAGAGGAAACAAATGGTACCTCCTCAGTACCAGTTATCGCATCTCTAGCTAGTCCCAAATTTAAAAGTTGCATTATTGTGATGCGTTATCTTTTTCTTGGCCTGTACTCCCTGGGGTAACTGGACACATTTATTTACAGGGCCCCTCTTGCAAATCCTGTAATGAGATCCATACACTGGCCCTTCTCTGGTGCGACTGAAATGCAGAGTTTCTCCACAAGGGGCCGGAGGAGAGCCCAGCATAACACAGAAGTGTGACCTTCCAGGGCAGGGTTCAGTATGAAGCTTGCACCTCCTTGTAGGGGTTACAGAGGGGCTTGGGAGGGTCACACTTAACACAACATGAGCGAAGTGATTTGGACAAGGGGCATGTGTGTCTTTATAATGTGAAATTAGCTTGTTTATCGCATCTTTGCACTTCTCACTATAATTTTAAGCTCTAAACATAAATTACCTGCAGAAATTGATATCTGGTCCATTTGTTCTTAGTGTAATAAGGTGTGAATCGAGAAATAATGTAACGCCCAAGCCATCTGGAACCATCCGTAAGCCTTATATTTATAACAAACTCACATCCTGCTTGGGAGAAGAACCTAATCCATATGATATGTCATTTGAGGATAAAATCATTTACATACATTTCTCTCTGTTGCCGTGAGAGTAAATGACTTGCAGAATTATCCTGCAAAGTAGCGTTTTGACATACAATAAATTATACCGCAGGGATTGATGTTCGGTGGGGAGGGGGGGGGGGTAACCTGCTGTCACCATCATAATTATGTGCCCATTTGAAATTAGTCCAAGGAACTACGATTTACATTTTGCCGCAAAACAGCACATACGCTAATCATATGCATTGCTGTGTAATTATTTTGGTTTGTTAAAGGCCGTACAATTGCATGCAGATTAGCTTTTGTAGGTAAGAATACTTGTAAAATCATCCAGCAGTCGTCTGAAATCACAAGTCTGCATTGTTGTTTGTGCTCTAATTGCAGTTTAATTAATGCAGCCACGCAGTATTAAACTTCAGGATGTCTGAAACTTTGGATGGATTTGCAAATAAACCATGTCTGATGCCTTTCCAGTGTCTACAGTACTGGGAGTAATAGAAGGGACAGCATACAATTAATCATGTCGAGGAGCCACTCTCACATTGAGTGCAAGTGATTAAACATTAAGTATATTGCTCGTTCTTGCATCAAACTTTTTTTGTTATTTGTCAACAGAGGGACACAAAATAAGCACACGCGTCGACACGGAAAGTGCATGCATGCTAGCAGCACAGACGCCGGATGGAATGTAACACGATTAATTATGCAAATGCACGATTGTTTGGAGGTGCTTAATCTAAATGCGACCATATTCATGAAAGACAAAACAAATTCTCCACATGCATTGTAATAGCTGTGGGTCTGTCTTATGTCTGACAGATGTCTTTCAGATGTAGACTCCACACTTTTTCCCCAAATGTTTTGTGTCATTTCTCTCTGTGACGGACAATAATCTGTCTCTTCACCTCCAGACTGTACTCAGTTATGAGGGGGCGACACCGAGACATAAGAGAAACAGGACCCTGAAATGTGGTGGATGGGGGGGGGGGGCAGAAATGGTTCAATCAAGGTAGCAAGCTATGGTTTTTCCACACTGATTAAAGCATTTAAGTAGGCTGAGTCAGATACAGGATCACCTAATACCAATGACTAACGGTAATGACATAACGCTTAATGTGAATCACAATCAGTGGCTTGTGTTCGTACGTAAAGTAGGATTCATAAGATCTCCTTAAACTACCTATTATCATCACCTCAGATCACTGTGCAAACATCCCCAGATTTATCACCTTGGAAACTGGATTACAAAAAAAAAAAATACTGCCCAAAAAAAGAAAGAAAAAAACCCCCACAGAAATGAATTACTCCTTCCTTTTTTCAGATGTAAAAGTTCACTCTTTTCTGCATTGTATAGCGTGCACTTTCATGCCATATCCAACTTGTGGGTTTGCAGTGTGTCCTGAGACAGTTCACTCACTGTATTAGTCACCACGGCAACTGATGTCCGCGAGGAGGCCTTGACAGACCCTCAACCGACCTAGCCTTCTGAAACATTCCGAGCATTGTCAACCGCAGGCTCCTGAGAATCTTCTGCCTTGATGACTTTTCATTTTTTCTTTTACAGTTGTAAAAGGCATTTAAACATTTCAGAACAGAGACCTATCAACCTCGTTTCTGTACTGTCTCTGTGTGTGCGCTCATTTCAAACCTAAGGCGGTGATGGCCGTCGTCTGCTTTGGGGAGGTGATTTCTGGGCGGCTAGCAATGACTGCTGTTTTGTTTCTGTCCTCTGCCAGGTGGTGCTGCCCGCCGTTTTTGTGTGCCTCTCTCTCATCTTCTCGCTCATCGTCCCCCCCTTCATGGAGTACCCGAGCCTGGAGCTACATCCATGGATTTACGGAGTGCCACAGAACACCTTCTACAGGTAGGGAGCTGATCACGTGGGCGCCGCCACACCACTCACCGCCGTTTGCTTTTGAGGCGGACATGCTTCAGCTTTGAATGCGTCAGCTTTCATTTACACCTGCTCTTATTCTCCTAACAGCTACCCAGCATGCTTTGGGCTTCTTTGTCTGTGAATGCTGGGACAGATTGTCAGGTTTTCAGGGCGAGAGCTTGCAGCATTCCAGGGGTGACTAAGTCAGCGGCCACATTACGATGTGCAGTGGTGCAGAGCTCCTTCAGTGTCGTCTCCACTTCCTGTAGCACCTCCTGTAATAGTTCAGGTTTTTAATTGGGGATCACTTCAATTAGCGTGCTTAATTCTTGCAGTCTAAGTTCAGAAGACTTGCAGTTTTGTCTATTTTTCCCCCATTTCACACTGCAAAATGTGATTCATCCTGAGATGAACTTATATACTGTTTACACCTAATCTCTATAGGTACTCCCAAAAGACCCAGAATTGTAACGTGATGATGTTTGTAGGAGATCCCAGATGATGTGAAAGCTGCTCTCAAGGGGGACAAAACTCATAACTGGCACAAGTCAAAGATCCGGCTCTGGAATTGAGTCTCTGGTGTTTCTTTTTTTCTACATCTGGATGACAAAGGGAGCAGTGTCTCCTGATGAATGGCTCAAATAAAAATCATGTGGCGCACACTCCATCAAAAGCAGAGCCGGCAACAGTATCTGACAATAGTTCCCCCACATCTGCAGTATCATCAGCAGTTTCATATATATATTCTTCAGGAAATTTTTTTCAGGGCAAGCTGACTTTTCTTTGTGAGATCGATAATTTGAAAATGGATTTGATTGTGTCCTCCCAATCTGATGTAAATATGTGGTATTTAGAAAGCTTTTATGTCTGTTCCACGTGAATATGTTTTATTATTATAATACAGAAATCAGTTAGTGTTCCTAATACTGTCTTTCATAAGCAGTGTGATAGTTTCATTCATGAGCGTTTTGTGTTGTTCTTACCATGGTATAAAACTTAATTCTTATACTTTTTTTTATTCTTATCATGAGAGGAACCATCGAAGTTCCCAAGTGTCATTTTAAGTCATCGATGACTTGTGGCTCACGCCGGCATATTCACAGCTGGTTACCCCGCATTCCTTCTCTGCCGTTCGGACTCTCTGTTCCTTCATCTGCTCCTCTTCAGACACGTCACCACTCGACTACCGTTGCTGAATAATTTAGACGCAACGGTAGACTGCAGGTGACTTGTGAATCATATATATATTTTATGATATTTTATTTTATTTTATTAACTTCACTGGAATAAAATATATGATTTCCCTGACATTCCATCTGAATTCATCAGAAGCGGATAAATGGATCGTAACACATGGGAATTTACAAATGCCATTTACTGTAGGAAGGTTTTAACCAGAGCCGAGGAAGCAGGGCTGTGTCGCTGGTTACTGAACTGCTTATACGTCAGTGACAGTCAGGGATTCAGTTGTCATGGGATGCACATGCATGCCATCGCCCTGTGGGGAAAAAAAAAATGAGAAAAACATTCCCCTTTGAAAATATACCATCCCCTCTTTCACCATCCCTGTGAATCATTCAGTGTAATGCCGCTCACGTAAAGTGAATCTGCCAACTATATCAGGGGTACTCAACTAGCAGCAAATTTTTATTGTGGGGGATGCCCCCCCCCCCACCAAATTTTATCATCGCAACCCCTACCATATCCACCTATCCGCCATCCCCATAGAAACATTTGCACAACTTGACCACTGTTTACAGTCCTAAATTGTCGGACGTAACAAACTGAGAAGACGCACGACGGCCCCGTCTGCTAGTTTCGGAGAAAACCGTCTTTTATTCTCCTGGTGAGCGGCAGCCAGTCGGCACTTTGTGGTGAAGGTGAAAAGGACACGGAGGGGGTGGGCAGCACGGCCGCGGGGGCCTCGCCCTGGGCAGGGTGGCCTTTTCTCGCCCGCTCCCGTCTCTCTCTCTCTCCCGCGGTGCCGCCGCGTCCGACAGCGCGTGCCAGGGGCACAGCATGCGCCGGCCCGCAGAGGCGACGCCGGGCGGATAAATGCCCTCTTTGTGCCGTGGCTTTGCTTTGCCTGTGGGGGGCGATGCTCTTTGGCAGGGCTTCTCAGCAGCTTTGGCACGGTGACGTCTGCCATTGTTTCTTGGTGTCTAATGTGCTATAATTAACACCCTTAACCCTTGATTCTGAAAAAACTATACGTATCCAAACACTCATATGAGCTGTCATTATAACAAATATATTCTTAATTGAAATAGTCAGTGGTTGGTACATACAATACATTGAGGTTTATAGAGGCTTTGGAAGCTGTGTTTTTGGCCAGCATGTGGCTGATTTTTCTATGATTTTCACATGTGATGCTCGTGGGGTGAAGCTACATTGTTACCAGTCACCTGGCGCTTAAATCTTGCGTAAAAGTGAAAGACAGCGTGTAAAAGCAACTTCGAGCTCCGGGGGATTTTGCTCTCCTCCTATTGGGCAAATTGTTTGGATAACGCGCTGCTGCGAATGAGCGCAACCTGTTCACAATGGAAACGCTAGGATCTGTGAATGTGTCACTATCCTTAAGTCCCTGAAATGAGCATTGTATAACAGAGGTACAGTTTTACTGTATTTACTGAATTACTAAGAGACAAGCAGGGGTAAATGTTGTATCCATTTTAATTAAGTTGATAAAGTTCCAGTTTAGTTGTGTACACAGATGGAATAAGATGAAATTGGGCTTTATATAGTTCTGCACACGCATTCATATGCACACTTATGAGCCCCCTAGATCAGTGTTTCCCCATCTGATCCTCGGAGACCCACAGTTGGTCCGTGTTTTTGCTCCCTCTGAGCTCCCTGCCAGACAGTCCACATTTTTGCTCCTTCCCAGCTCCCAGTAGGGATGGAGTAAAAATGTGCACTGTCTGTGGGTTCCCGAGGACTGGATTGGGAAACATTGCCCTAGATAATGAACAAATGATATGAAGTCATTGTGTAGGGGTTTTAACCAATTTGTTGTCCAACATCAAAGAAGTCTCTGCATTATGAAACAAGTTAAAAACTGTGCCCAGATAGGTGTTAGAATTACACCTGCTGGTTAATTACTGTCTGCCATTTGGCATGAAGGATTAGGCTTTGACTAGTAGAGACCAGCCTCTGAGCTGATGTTCTGAAAGGAAAGAATTATGCTTGGCTGACTGCAACAAACAGATCTCTGATCGATCAGTACTCCTGATTAAATGCATTGTCCTTGTGGCGATGAATGTGTTGTGCTCTTTAGAAGTTGTCTTCTAATGTCCCAGGGAGCACTATGACTGGAGAATTTCAGGATAAAGCATAATTGAAAGTTATAGTTCTCAAATGAGGATTTGATCCAAGCTAACCAATGGAGCATGACTTTCCTGACCATGCAACAATTTATAACAGTACCCACACCCAGTATCAGCTTTTTAATTTAACCGAATTGAAGATACACTCACTATTATGATGCCACTGTTCCATTCTGGAATGTGGGGCTGGCTACCACAGTGACCACCTGGTGAATGCCATGGATGGAACACTTGTGAAAATAATATTTTTAAGCAGTCTGTTGTGTGAACTGTTACTAACTAAGCCATTATTGGAGGACCAGATTTTTCAGTGTGAATAATTTGCCAGTCTAATCTGTAAACTGGAACATTTTTGGATATTTTGGCCAAAATCTTGCAGTTTTTCCAGTAGCTGGACAATCTGGCGTGTTTCTGAGACATGGTTTTTGTCCACAGTTAAAACACTAGACTGCTGATTAGGCCGCCTGTAATTCACCCATGTCTTGTTACAGCAATGATGCCCCAGACCACTTGGAAGCCTCTCGTGTGGTAGATTCCCTGGTGAATACCCCAGGATTTGGGACCCGCTGCATGAAAAATGACCCCCTGCCGTGAGTATAGTACCCCAGGACTTCAGGTAGCCACAACCGACTGTAGGTAACCAAGTGGCATCTAGACAATCAAACCCATGTCTTTTAAGTTAGTTTTGTGCTGTTTATTGACCTGAAAGTGACCACATTGTGGCCATTTTATATTTTAATGTTGGTATGTTATATAAGCTACAGTCAAAGTAACCCAATTTTTCTTCTTAGGAGACCCTCTTTGGTAAAAAGGGAAAAATCTTTTTAAAAATGTATTTAAAGTCAGAGAATCCCAGCTCATGCGTGATGGCAGATCTTACATTGTGCTGTCTTGGTACTGTCAGGCTTCATTTGAAATAATCTGTTTCATCAGGGTTTTTCCTCAGCAGATGTAGTCACCATACCTGGGCCCTCTTTCAGTAATTTCAGTAATTGCCTCAATCCATTCATCATCCACACTCTGATTATATGGAATAATATGCATAATATTTAGGTGTGTGAAAGTGGATTTGCATGTTTTTATTTTGCGCACTTTTCCATATGCAAAAGGACATCAATGCTTTCATGTTCTAGCATCTCTTTGATGTTTTTTTAGCATTTGAGTTATCTAAAGCAGTGTTTCCCAATCCAGTCCTCGGGGACCCACAGGCGTCCACATTTTTGCTCCCTCTCAGACAGGAGCAAAAACATGAACCGACTGTAGGTCCGGGTTGGGAAACACTACTCTAGAGGCTTTTCTGAATATGCAGGGGTAACAGGAAGTTTCATCAAGGAAACTTATTTACCTGGGGTGTATAAATGTGTAACATCTGAGGCCCACAGATGTTATTACTGGTTTTTTGGAAAGGAAGGCTCACCATAAGGCATATTTAGAACATGGAGGAGGGCAAGGTCAAGGTTATTGGTCCAAAATAACAGCCTTTATTACTGAATTTGCAGATTTATGTTACTATGTTACATTTTTACAAGATCATTTTGTACAAAGTGAGGCTGATAATACACTGCAACATGCAGCTGGCAACATACAGTTGGCTTAGGGGGTGGGACAGGATCTAGATAGGTGACATTTGGGGGTGCCAGTGGAGAGAGACGAGGCGAGGTACATTTCAGCTGATTGAATACCAAACGTGCTTCTACACTCTGAAGTGCAGTTGTTTTATAGCACTTGCTGGCAGGCCTGTCAGTAAAGAGTTACAGTAGTCTTGTCATGAGATGACATTTTTCTGGACTAGAAGCTGGGCTGCATATTCAGATAAATGAGGTCTGATCCTCCTGATGTTACTTAAGTAAATCTCCAACAACAGGAGATACCGCATGTCCCTTGCAGACCTTGATGGAAAAAGGTGACAATCCCTTATTTAGGACGCAACGTCAGCATGGCACTCAGAAATCCAAGCCCAGTCTGTGGAGTTCTCTGAAAGGAAGCTCAGCTGGTCTTGGATGTCATCTCCATATTAGGAGTAGAAGCTATGTCACTGGATTATCTCGTCTAAAAAAGGTAGTGTACAAGGCAAGATGGGGACCAAGAATCAAAACTTGGGGCACATCAGTTGTTACCTGATGCAACTTAGACCTCTGCACCTCAAGACTCTTAAATAGGTAAGAGTTCATCTAAGAAGCATCTTAGAGCAGGCCCTGTGATGCCAAGTGGAGATAGGGTTTACAGGAGGATCTGCTGGTTAATCTGGTTGAGGATTGAAGATGGGATCCACAGCAGTCAGTATGACAGAAAATTATTCTGTGTGAGTAAGTTGGAAACTCGATTGAGGGTGAAGGTGAAGAATATGTCCTGTGTATCTGGGGTGGTATCATAATACAGTAGTTGGTTTTAGCAGCAGTAATGTTAGAAGGGAAAGTGATTGACAGCCTACCAGATCATCAGGGTCGATTTCCTGCACTTACACTCAGCACTCCTCTGCTTTGTTTGTTGCTTACAAATGGCACCAGACTGGAGAGTAGCAAGCGAGTATGCTGGTCTGGAGGAGAGGAGGCAGAGGGGGTAGGGGAATGTGCACCAGAGGCCTCATTTTCATCAGGTGATCAGAGCTGATCAGGAGAGGGAAAGGCAGAAGAGACAGAAGCAAGTCGGAAGGTGAATTCCTGAGACTTGAATTGGGACATGAAGACAAATTGAATAAAGTGACCAGGTGCATGCAAAAGGGTGATATGTAGTTGGTCTGTGATACACTTATGTGTCAAGATGAAGTCCAATTTGCTTCTGGCCCCGTGAGTCAGTGGATTGCGGAACCGTATTTGGTTAAATGAAGTCAGTAAGTAAGTCACCTGGCCTGTGCTTTATCAATGTGGATGTTCAGGTCGGCAAGGATGACAAGTGGCATATCATCATCACAGACAACTGGAATCTACTGGAAGCCCATGATGAAAGAGATGGATGGAAGTGTTTTGGCAGGGCACAGAGATACTTAGTTGAGCAAGGCCACGCTTGGGGGACTCATACGGACTAACTGGTCTTATCACAAGCAGGATCCTCACACAGGAACTGATGCTTCAGCACTATTGCTTACTGATAAACTTGGCCAAATAGTACAGGTGCTAACTGCTGGTGTCATAAGCAAATCTCCAAAATTTCTTAACTAACTCCTCACAAATCACTAGAAACAAGGGAAGTCACCTACTAGCTAATAAGATCATAAGGCCTGTTGTTTAACCAGCAGAACTTCTCCGGCCTTATAAAACCATGTAGTTACCTACTATGCTTCCTGTTGCTCCTGGACATTTAGGAGAAGCTGTATTTTAATGAGAGGACATGGTGTCAGAAAAGTTCTTGTTTTATGTGCATATTTTTCCTCTAGGAAACTGCCCTGTTCCTCCAACGGATCAGACTGGTTCACCCCTTCTGTGCCCCCGTCAGTCTCAGAAATCTTCGCCAATGGCAACTGGTCGATGTCCAACCCCTCCCCGCCATGTCAGTGCAGCACCCCGAGCAGAACAATCATGCTGCCAGACTGCCCTCCAGGGGCCGGTGGTCTGCCCCCGCCTCAGGTAAATTCACTTACAGCCCTCAATACTCAGCTGCTCTGTGTGATGTCATTTAGTCAGAAAGTCGGTGCTTTTATTTAAACCCCTTCACAAAGCTGCCTTTTTCCCGTCCAAACAGCTTTGTATCCACCACCACAATGGTGTAGATTTCAATTAAGCTTAAACATCCTGCATAAAAGTACAGCCACAGCAGCTGCCGTCTCGGTGCTTTTGACTCCTGTGCATTTTCTTGGTCTTTCTGCCTGTAGGCCTTCTCCTGTAAACCTGTGTCAGATGATTTATGGATATTTCCAATAAGGCCCGGGAATTGGTTAAGCGCTATCTGTTTGTTGTATTTAACTTCATCTCCCATCCAGCCTACCGTTTGTCGGCCAAAGCCATTTGCTAACTCCATAAGCAGTGGCTGAGATGCTGCAGCTTGACCTATGTGTTTAGAGCGCGGTTTTTAAGCAAGCGCTAATCGAAGCTCTGCTTGTACTGCATGCAGACGGGTAGCACACCCGCTCTGCACCAGCGCACGCTCAGAGCTGCGTGTGGAGTGTGGGATTGGGCGTGCCTAGGGTGCGAATTGGGCGCCATCCAAGCCATCACTTTAACAACATACACAGCTTGAGGGCCAGCATGGAGGCTCAGGTATTACTCTGCTCCGATCAATACGAAGGAAGGCCACAACCCCTGTCTCTGTCCTTCATTCTCAGCAATGGCAACTGGAGACTTCAGCTACAAATCCATCCCCTCCATTTAGTATTTATAATACTATACGAAATTTATGGGCCAAACTCTTCATACATTTGGTTTTACCTGAAGCTACAAGTCTGCTTCTTTCATTCCTCGGGACTCAGCAAATGACCTACAAGTATGAAGATGATTCAGAGTCGAGCAGGAAGAAAAACATACTTAATGAGATCAAAGGCTAGCTAATTGTGTAAAGCTTATAGATTTGGTGATGGGGGGCACATCTACTTTGAACCCACGGTTGTGCTGTGATTCAGTTCTTTCAAAACTGGCTGACTTCGGCTGACTACAGAAAATCGAAATGCGGAGCTCCACAATAACATCTGCATCAACGTTATTTCATAAAAGAGACTTAACTGAATATGACCAAAGCAAAATTTATTTATTTGGTTGGACTATGTTTTGATCTAATCGGGCCTTCATCCATTATGTCTGTTGGGATAAAAAAGCTGTTTCCTCTACTCAATAGCTTGTGAGACTTTCACTTACATAAAATTTTTCTGAGGGCAGAAAGAAGAATAATTATTTCAGAGAGATAACCAATCAGATAGTAGAGGAGGTGGGTCCAAGGAACTAGTGTAGGCAGGACCAAGACATCTGATTGGTTGGACCCGCCTCCTCTACTTGTTTGGACCCACCTCCTCTACAATATGATTAGTTATCTCTCTGAACCAATCATTAATATGTTCTGCCCTCAGGACATTTTTGTGTAAATAAAACGCCCATGAACTACTCAACAGATGTGTGTGCATGTATCTTTCTCCACTGTCTAACCAATGCGGCCGCATTATGTTCTTATGTTCTTATGTAATAGCATTGCTAGCTCCCTTTGACGGACCCATTTTTACTGCTGGACTCTGAGTCTGTGTTTGGATGTGCATTTTTTTTATATATCTACTCACAGCCATTCAATTATGCAATATTCCCCATGATAAGATCGACTTTGAATTTCTTGCAGAAATAGTGAAGAATTTTGTTGAGTAGCATTGGCTGTGGTATTATTTATTGGATAAAGTTTATAATATAATTTCACTAGAACTTTTTCAATAAATGTGTGTCTGGAAATGAGAAAAGTGCATGGCAAATGTCTCTGTGTACTAAAGTTTATAGCAACAGAAAAAAAACAATTTTGCAGAATTGATTTACTGCTATAAAAACAGTAGTGATGGTTGTAGGAATAATTATAGATTATGTATTGTTATGGACTTGCAGAGATCCATTTCAAGTTGCAAAAAAGTTTTGACGGGAAGAAAAAAATCATCTTGTCATCGCAGTAATAGTCTTTGTTGTCTGGCTTTGTTTTGGTATAACCTCTGTCTGCACATTTGGGGATCAGATTTGTCAGTGTATGCGCAGCCTAGGCAATTTGTCGCGCTATAACCTGGAGATATTTTTTCCACTTGATATTGACAGATGGCGTTCCATGTCTGTTGGCGTCCGTCTTCCCGGAGCAGGGGAGGATGCGGCCGCATGTGCTCGCGTACCACGGCGTGCAAATGGAAACATGTGCCTGTCTGCCTTTGAACATAAGCAGACAGATTCTGGCTGTTGGTATTGAGGGGCTGATTGAGCAGATAGCTAAGAATTCTAACTTCTGCCCATGGATATCTAGCGCTGTCAATTTCCCTATCAGACTCATTCACAGAAACAGCCAAGTCCATAATCCATGGCTGCCCTTTCTGTGGTCCATAGGCACAGTTGCCACCAAGTTGACAACCCCCTCTTGTCATGCTGATAGATTTATTCATAGAAACATGAGAATGGGCTTGAGAGTACACTCAAACCTTCGCCTCTACCTCACTTTATCCATGTCGTTGTCATTATTATTGCTTCAGCTATTTTTTTTTATTCTCTGTAAATGGCACCACACTTTCCACAGCCTTGTTCAAGATATTCATTTTTATTGAAATATGCAAGGAGGGAAAAAAAACTTTGTTTTCTCAAGCAGCCATTATTGATGTACTGAGAGTGTCATGAAGCCCTGACAAGCTTTTCATCCGTGACGGCGTTAAAGTGCCAGTCCGCAGAGGGCTCTTAGTGGCACCTCCAATTGACGGGCAGTATTCTTTTGTCCAATTAGAAGTCATTTGATAATTAACTTTTAAGTCAGGCATTTTTTTTCCTGCACCAATGATGCATTGCCTTCCCATACTCATAAACTTTGCGACAGAACGGGTCTAATGTAAACACTAGACTTGACCCAGTTTTTATTTTATAATATATTTTTTAGTAGTTACTGTGACTCTGACACATTTGGAATAATTTGCGCCCAAGAAGTAAATAAGAAGTCGTGGTCTTCTTTCTCTAAGTGCTCTTTTTTCCCAGCTCTGGGTGCATAACTTTGTCTCATCAACTTTGAAAATAACAACTTTTCTCTTCTGAGGTCTTTATTTTTTTCTGATTTTTAATTGGAAAATCTACCAAAACCTCAAAGTTTAAGTAGTCTGTTAAAATTTAAACAAGGCCTGCACTTCAAATTAAGGGCCCTTATCTCCGCACAGCCTGTATGTGTCTGTGCTGTCACTGTAGCAGGGATTCCCCTTTGCCCAGCCTGACTTGTCTGCCAGATGCTCGGAAGGCCTCTACTTGTGCCACCTGTGTGATAAGCAGCCATAAATGAGAAGAGATGATGACAGACAGATTGTGACGCATCAGAGAAGAACGAGTTCCAGACAGCCCGGTCAGACATCCGTTCTTAAGCCACCTATTTTTGGATAAAGCTCTTGATGGCGTTGGTTCATTCTTGGGAGGTTTACTTACACAAAATTTGTCTGAGGGCAGAAGGAAAAATGATTGGTTCATAGAGATTACCAATCAGATTGTAGAGGAGGTAGGACCAAGACATCTGATTGGTTGGTTCCACCTCCTTTAGTTGCTTGGACCGACCTCCTTGACAATCTGATTGGTTAACTCTGTGAACTAATCATTTTTCCTTCTGCCCTCAGAACATTTTTGTTTAACTAAAACCCCTATGAGCTGCTGGTTCTTCTGCATACGTCATCTTGCATTTCTAGAGGTGATAGCCTGCTGTCACATCACAAGGGTTAAAGGTCATGCTAAGGAGAGTGTTATGATTCATGCCCTCAAGTGCCATGAATGATCCTGATGCGAACAAACTAGAAAACAAATTAGCAGGGGCACTCATTTCATATGCCTGATGCACTGTTCCGTTTCAGGTCATGTATTTTGTTTGATTGTTAGTAACACGATTAGTCTAATTAGTTGTATATACAGTGGGAATATGAAACTGTTATAGTTACTCAGATAGATGAGTGTTAAGGGCTTAAGTTGCCAATTATTTTGGTTGCGTACTTTGGGAAGCTGGAGAAGATGCCTTTTCTTAGGTTTTGCCACATGCTCGTAAACGTTTAGACTTGAATCATGTGTGCAAATAATATGCCCGTCACCTGTGTGTTAAATTACACGAAGAACCAGAGTATATGCTGTCTGTGTCACTGTGAAAGAAGCGCTACAAGCTAAGTGCATTTTGATCGGGGTGCAAGTTTTGTTATATAATAAATAATGAATGACGAAATAGAAAGCAAGGCCAATTAAAGTGAGATGTATCTATCCCACTGCCTGCTGTGAAGCAACCTTTTATTAAGTAAGGAACCTTTGGAGACTAGACTGTTGTGTTCATTCTTATTCAGCGTGATAGGCTCTGGGTTTCGCTGGAGTCCTGTGGAGGTTGCTGTGCATGTGTGGGTGCCCATGTCTTTGTGTTCATATCCGTCTGTCATTGCGTGCGTTTGTGTCTCTGTGTTTGGTGATGTTTTTGTCCATCTCCGTCTTTGTGGATGTGTGTATGTAGGTGCCCTTGGATGATTGTGTGTGTAAGGTACATTTATTGTCATCCCGCATCAGATCCTCGCTCTCTCTCTCTTTTTTTAACGCCGGCTACAGAGATAAGTCGCAGACGGGCCTCAATGGCTCGCTGGGCACGTGAAAGATTTGCTGTGTGCACCACCTAGTGACAGACGGCTGTGGAAACGGAGCTGAAGGGTGTAGGTGTGTTGTCCAGGTGATGTGCTGAGGGGAAGAGCCCCCCAATGAGCCAGCGTTGCTGGTGTCCTGTGAGAGTGGGATCATTTCTGCCCGTCCGTGTCCCTCCCCCGACGTCACACTGCAACCCGCCACAGCGCACCTTCACACGCCACGTCTCTATAAACGCCGGTTCGTCTTTGAATACAACATGCAACAACCTTCCCACAATATACAATAATCATAATGATAACGTGCATTTAATTTTTTGCCATTTCTTATGAAGT